GACGGGGTCTGTACGTTGACCTCTGGGTTTGTGGATGTTGACTCTCCTATAAAAGGCGCTGAACCTAATTGTAAGTCAAGATTTGGTCTAAGTTGGGATTTTTCTGTTAAAACCTTTCAGTTTATTCTGCAAGCTGTGTTACAGTATAATGTACCCTAAATCATTACTACTCGATTCTGAATTTTGGTCACTTAAAGAAAGTAGTTCTAAAGAATACTTTTGGGAATGGTGGATGGGAAGAATTGATGTAAGTCACTGCTATATTGCCTTATTATTGGTGACTTGACTTCTTAATCACTTGGCCGATTACTTGCTTGCTCCGTTGGTCGCTCGATGTGGGTCTGCGGCAAAACAGTAACATCAATAGTAAAATTAACACTTCCCAAGCTACTAACATCGTATAGCAGGGATCACCAAATTACTGCCCCCCCCTCCCCCCCCAAAAAAAAACGGTGGACGATTTGTTTGCAGCGTGTTTAAGACTTGGTTAACTAAGTACTGTAATCTTTTCATTGAACTTTACAGTGGAAAAACAGACACTGAGACATTTGAAATGCTTTTATAGATTATATCTTCTAACAAATGCATCACACTCGTGGCCGGCTTAGATGTGACAAACCTTTCATTTAACACATCAGTCTGTTGTATTAAACAAAATAGTTATTGGGCTGGCTCTTGGCATTCTCTCAATTATCCGGCCCACTTTGAAAAAAGTTAGGTAACCACTGTGTCGTATAGGAAAAAGTGTGCCCTTGTTTTGCTTAGTATCTTCATGATTCAATGCTGGATTTCGCTTCGAGTGTGTAGTTGAACGGCCAACACGTGTTGTCTGCTCCTTCTTTTTCTTTTCAGGGCAATTGTTATCCCAGTCTGTTTCTTGCAGAAATGTGGCTAGTGTCGTTATTAACCCTTGGCTTCCTATCAGCAACTCACACCGAATACATTATGTACTCTACTTAGAAAAAAGATCTGGACGCAAAATGTTAACTGGGGGGCTCTCGCGGTCTAGAGACACCTTGTTCACCTCTCATTTAAAAGGTCCCGGATTCGAAACCTGACAATGACGGAAAATGTTCTTCTCGAAAATTTTCTCCTTTTACCTACATTCCTGCACTCTACCACGTTCTGTCGTCTGCTTTCATCTCCACTTTCTGACCCCTTGACGTTAACAACATCCAAAAAGTGATATTTTCGTTAAATTATTTCAGCACAATGGAACTCATGGCCCACGTTTTGCCCGGTGACGGGTGGTTTCAGCTTCCGCACTATCCGAAGACTGACCAATGAGGTGAGATGTTCACACTGTTACTAGAAAAATTCACTTCTTTCCTATTCGATGTTGTTCTAATTGGTAAATCTTCTCTTTTGCGGTTGAATGTGTTGCTTTTATTATTGTTTTTTGTCTTTGGCCTTGTTGTTGCTGTTTTTGTTGTTGGTGTTGTTGTTGTTGTTGTTGTTGTTGTTGTTGTTGTTAATGATGAAATGATGATGATGATGATGATGATGATGATGATGATGATGATGATGATGATGATGATGATGATGATGATGATGATATTTCTGTTTGTTGCCTTCATTACAACTGCTGCTGCAGTTACCGGTATCGTTGTTTTACTTTTCTTTCTGTCTTTCATCTTTCAATAATTTATTTATCTATTTATTTATGTTGTCATCATCGCCGTTTAAACAGATACTGTGGCTGATTTTGTTGTTATTGCTGTTGTTGCCCTCACAGATAAAAGTTGGTACGCTTATTCATTATTTTTGTTTATCGGCTGTTAATTTGTTTATCTTTGCTTTGTTTTAACAATGTTATTTTGTAAACGGAATCGAATTCTTGTTTAATATCGAGTGTCTTTTGATTTTCTTCCTTATCCTTTTTTGTCTGGTTTTCAAGGAATAACCTTTTTTTTTTTTTCAAGCTTGATAATTTTTTTCCGTCGCGATGCCATCTCCTGAACTCATAATCTAACCCAAAACCGTATTTCGTCCTCAAACTCGTATGTTCTTCCCAAGACATTGCAGGATGAACATTGATTTGCCCGAGTTTGGTACAATCTGGAGATAACAGTTCTTAACACCGCGGGTCTTACTCTTAGATTGCAATACTGACAAGTCTTCCCTCCGTGGATAGGACTGTGACCGACATTGGTAAAGCTTTCAAAAGCCCTTCAGCCGGGCATTCCGTCTGTCTCTGCCTCTGTCTCTGTCTTTGTCTCTGTCTTTGTCTCTCTCTTTCTCTTTCTCTATTTCTTTCTTTCTCTTTTTCTTCCCTTCTCTCTCTGTCTCTGTCTCTGTCTCTGTCTCACACTCTCTCTCTCTCTCTCTCTCTCTCTCTCTCTCTCTC